AACAATAATTGAAACCTACATGAGTGTTTGCGCGGTGATAACAAACAAAATATCACCGGCTTAAAATCAATGTGCTTGTAAACTCGTCAGGGGAGCGAAAAAGCTGAACAAGGAACATTGTCTGGGATCCCCCCCCCTCAAAATTTTTCTTCCAACTGACTTTGTGCCCAACGAAATGCGGCATAGTCTGTTTGATGACAGAACGAGCACCGAGCTAACGACTGGAGTACAAAAAGAAAGAATAAATTTCGAAAATATTTTTTTTTTCAAACTAAAGGCTATGATGAAAAGGGTAGTGCCCGAGGTATCAGGGCCATTCGTTGGCATAAGAATTGGAAAGTTTCCATTTGAGGTTCTTTCTGAATCCCCATGGAGGTAAAGTTTCCCGCCTCCGGTGCTACCGTTGGAAGGCTACTTCACCCTCGTTGTCTTGTGGCCTCTGGAAGGTGGACACAACGTATTCGCAATGTGGCTGCTTGAAACTGCCCTAAGCCAGTAAGATAGAAGCCAGCACCAAAGCTTATAGAGATGTAGTGAAATTTGAGAATTACTGTATGGAATCTTTATCAGGTTTGAGGCTAACTTTAGGGGCTTTTTTCACGTTTAACGGGGAGAAATTAAATTAAATAGAAAACATGAAAATTGAATAAAATAGTTGCAAAAACTGTCGTCTTATTTTAAATGCCTCTTCGGAAAGGTGGGGCATTGCCCGTTGCCCCTCCCCCCATCCGATAATGTAAGCCCTGCGTTAAATCTCTTTCGATTGAAGACAACCTCAAATTGTCTAGCCAACAAGAATTCGATATTAGGGTAGTTTTAGTGCATAAAACTTCCATTTGCTTTGATGCCACAAATTTGATTTTTTTTGTTAACTCTTTGTTGCGAGTAGATGGTTCCCTCAATATTTAGGCCTATTGGTTTATACCCAGCAAGAAATGAGACCGAGGGGTACCCCCAACATGTCCAATCCCTATACACATTCCAGACTATTGTTACTTAACACATTCCCCCAAGATGTCTGGAAGGAATTCCCCAGATTCCTGCGAGACAATAACCAACACAAAGCGGGGGGGGGGTTTCTCTCCGTCTCATACCTTGCTGCATATGTATTGTTCCCTCAGTCTTTGCTCAACACTAGATTTGCATGTTTTGTCTCTGTGTACTGTGCAACTGTCCAAGAATACACCATTGTACTGTGGGCTTCTTTCCTGTGGGAAAATGGTTCTTGAGAAAAGGCTAGTCTTCTCTCCTTGTTGAAGCCTTTCCCTTGGAAAGAGATCCTCCGGATCCATAGCCACCGTATCGAAACCTTTATTGAAACCCGGGTTCCCAGCGTGTTGAGTAAAAACAATTGCACGCACCGTACCGGGGCGATATGCGCTGGCAAGCACAGCCGCTAATGATAGAGGGCGCTGCAATCCATAAGACACGGACTAGTCAGGCTTTTTCACAGTAGACAAAAATGAAACTAGTTTTACACTTCAATTTCTAACCCAAGCCACCCTCTACATTATTTTTCCTGGAGTGAGTTCAGTTCTGCTCAGGACCAGGGATAAAAATATTTCTCCCCCCCCAGGGCGACTTGACTTTTACGGGACCGCGAGAACCTGGTAGTGTGAAAAGGGCACCCGCGGTGAATTCAACCCTGGCATTATTTTTGTGGCATTATTTTCTATTCTCTTAATAAAAAATACGAATTCAGTAATGAAGTGCTCAGCATTATTTTCATGATGGTTAAAACCTAAAACCGTGGCAAGGGGGGGGGTAATTTTTGTCGAATGTGCCTGATGGCAGAGTTGTAATGACTCGAGTCAATGACTCGAGTCCGACTCCAGTCACAATTTTCAGCTACTCGAGTCCCGAATGGTAAATGACTCGACTCGAGTCTTGGTGAGCAAATGACTCGACTCAACTAGAGTCCCTCATCAGAAGACCCGACTCGAGTGAAAGTTAATAAGACTCGAGTCTCAAAAAAAAGCAAAGTGCTTTGCGATAAAACATTTGTAATGATTTACATGTACAATGCTGGCTTTGAATGTTCACGTAATGTTTTATAATCGTGAATAATAAAATGCAGTATGACCACATGTAGCAACCTAGAGGTAAATTTTAAAATGCTCAAAGTAACTTTCTTTCTCGTTTCTATTTATTGTAAAGTGTTCAAATATTTGTGACTCGAATTGATTCCAGCTAAATACTTGACTCGACGTTTTGGTCCAACGACTTTGTGGTCGCCTGGAGTTTGCAAACTCGACTGAGAAACGCGTGTGCAAGTCCCCGGGCACGCTTTGCGCGAAATAAGCCTGAACTCGGGAGTGAAAAATCAAAAGTCACCCCGTGGAGTCCCTTGAGCGGCCCCAGTCTGAACTTGCTCCAGAGATGGTTGTTCTAGGGTGAAAAGGCCTTATGGTCAGAACAGTTTGCAATACTTTCACGGTTAAAGTATCCTGAGAGCCACATTTCATTCTTTTCTACCCGATTTCCTTAATTTTTTAAATCACTGAAAAGCCTAAATAACTACTTTTCTCGTGTAGAGGATAAGCCGAAGTCAGTTCAAATCTCAAAATGTCTTATCCCTTTTGAGGAAACTTGTTTGCAGCATGCGTAGTGTAAACTCGGAATAACAGCAGACCAACTACGAGCATGCGCATATTACATTTTATTTTAGCTAATATTGATTCCAGCCAATCTGAAACTGAAAGAACATTCAGCAGGACAACACATAGAATTCAAACTGATTTTACAACGGATTTTAAAAACTTCCTTAGAATTTCCTTAGGTTTGAGAGATTTCGTCAAAATTTCTATAGTTTTCTTTTTCATTTCCTTAAAAATTCAAAAGCAAAACTTATCTCAAAAAACCATACTTGATGAATGCTCTTTTGCCAAAGAACTGGGACCAGTTCGGATTCATGGTTGCGAAAGCTGCCATTAATGCCTTTTCAAATTGTCGGTGATAGGCCCCTTTTTGGAATCCATGAGGACAATGGCCTAAATCTGTGCTGGAAATTGGGCGGGGGAGGGGATGGGCAAAGGTGGGGGATGACTTGCCAAGCAATAGAAATAATGGGGGGGGGGAAGACCATGTACACTATATAGGGGCGATGTTCTTGATAAAGATGTACATCTGTTATGGGTATCCGATTCATCCAGAATCTTCCATCAGAATGGCAAATTTATGTTTTTTAAAAAATTGATTTCCTTTTTAGTGATACTGCAAACATTTTAGTTGCTGGGAAATCCTGAAAATTCTTCACAATCTGCTTTATTTTTTCGCTTATCACAAAAAGTAGGGGAATGATTCAATTGCCCCCGACCCCTAAAAAATGTGTGTGGGGAATAAATATATATACATTTGTATATCCCCCTGCCCCGGATTTATGCCCATGCATGAGGTAAAGTAAGCACTCAATGGATAAATGGGTGCGTGACGGCAACGGGCTCAATCATCGACTAAATCCGCCTGGATAGGTGAGCACGCTTGGTAAGTGACGCTGTTACACCGGTACTGTGAAGTTCTACAGTTGAGGTAATAATGTTTCCCTTAACCATTTTTTCTTAAAATCATTTGGCTGCAATGAGACACTTATGTGCCGGTAGCCAGAAAATGCAGAAAAAAAAATACTGTTTCAAAAAAGTTCACGTTACGTCACATTAAGTAAAACACTGTCCTTCCATACTATTCCTTCCTGGTGGCGATTTTTTTTTACACAGCACGTTGGGTTAACCAGACTTGAAAAGAGACTAAAATCGTGGCTTTGGAGGATTTTTATTTTATAATGAAGTCAAGTTTTGTACTTAAACATGGGTAGCTTCCACGAAGTGTGAAGACTGTTCTTCTCTCAAAACTGCCAGTAAAACAATTGTCCCCATTAGAAAGTAAATTTATCCTCATAATGTTGTGTAACAAGAAGTATTGCATCCGAGCAGACTGCAGATTCCTCGGACAGAGTAAAAAAAAAACCAAACCGATACACATGTATTGCGTTTCTTCTACGTAATATTAGCATCATAAATATGCATGTATTGGCCGGCCGGGTACACATTCAAACTCATATGCGTTGCGTTCACCACGGTCCCCTTCGTGGAGTGACCGCAGCGCCCTCTAGTACAGTACGCGCGTACGCGCGTCGGCGGGGCCGGCCCTCGGCTCACAATCACAAGACATGTACATTGTACTGTACACATGTGCTGTACATGTACTTGTCGCATCGCAAACGGTATGCGGTGCTATGAGACGCGTAATGAGGGTCGGAGGGATTATGATCCATAGTTATATTTTATAACATTTGGGGTTCGATAGCGCTGCTCAACCTGCGCGAAAGCAAAAATTAATAATATGGCAATATCAGTGCTTTATCCCGTGGTTTTCCAGTTCTAAAGCGCAATACGTTCACTGAACCAAAACTGTGAAGGGGATATCGTCTCCGGAAATGTTCCACTTCCAGAAAGAAATCTCCGGTCAGTTGAGTGTTTTAAATAGTAAAGAGGGGAGGTAAATGAGTATAAAACAATGAGGGCTAAAAAACTCCAAACAAAACAAAAACAACAAATAAAAACACCCTAAAATAAACAAACAAACAACCCAACAAACAAACAAACAAAAACCCAAAACAAAACAATTATGCATGCTTAACCCCCCCCCAAAAAAAAAATTGAAATGACAAGCCACAAAAACATTGCGCAAAGAAACAACTTTCCTTGATTTCACAATTGGTGTACACCTGCGGAAAATATCTACTTGTTGAGGGCTGGAAATTTCAATTTGACATGACGTAAGTATGAGGGTCACTTTATATTATTTTTTTCGTGTGTCACCATTTTCTGTGATTTATCCCGGAGGCTGATGAAGGCTCTAGAAAAAAAAAGGTCACCGCCGTTCGCGGCCGCTCTGGCCTTATCCACTGGCCCAACATTTTTTGTCGAGGGAGCGCAGGGGGGAAAAAAACACACTGGTTCCCTACCAGCCATTAGGAGATTAATGATGTCAGCGTCCTGGGAACCAGCCTCACACAAGTACCGTATCGCGTACCGCGCTATGAACTCGTCATGTCACGTCAACAGCAATCGTACGGATTGTGCTAGGCCGGCTGGTTAGAGCTAGAGCTATGCACACGTAAGTGGCACATCTCGTTGACGAAGAGGGAGATGAAATTTACGTAAATTGAACACTAATGCTTATTGCTGAGAAAGCTGTCCAGCATAAACAACTCTCATACTGCTGCAAAAGCAGACTGTGGTGCCCGCTGGGAGCTTGTGTGTTCTAGGCTGTGCTTGGACGGATCTTTTTCGTTATTTTGGAGGAGAGCCTTTTTTTGTGTTATTCAGTGCGCCCTGTCTAGCATTATATCTTGACCGTGCGTTTGTGGGGTCAGTGAGCACCGAAACAACACAGGAGACGTGGAGTGCATTTATACGAAACGTGTCACGAACTCTGCCGGTGAGATAAGGTATTTTACATGTTTTGAAACTGAAGCTTACCCGAACGTACGAAGTTCTTGTGGAATTGGAAAAATGTTGCATCCTGGCTCCACTTCAGCAGTTGTGTACAAAGTCTATGGGGAGTGAAGAGAATTTTCTATTTCCCAACAACATCGGCATGATCAGTAGGCCTAAATGTTTCTCAGTACAGTCCAGAATTCGTATCTTTCCAGCATTTCTGTAATGACTGACTTTTATTGAGATGATGCATGATGAGAAAAGTGGAGTCATGATGCAACATTTTTTTCCGTGGAATTCATCATGGATTAAAAACACAAGTTGGGAAAGAGTTCCATGTAGGGACACATTTGTTTGGCTAAATTTCACTTTTTGGGACGTTATCATTTACCAGCGACTGTTTTAAAATTTTAACTCTTTCCACCAGGGATCTATATATTGAAAGAACTTAAAGTTAAAATGGGCTTTCATTGTAGGCCCTGGTCAATTTAAATGTGTCTGAGAATGTTGACTTCAAGTTGACATGGTGAACTGCAGGCACATACATGTAGGCTAGGCCTACCTATGGCTTAGGACAGAGTCCTCAACCGATATTGAAAGTTAAGGCAACCTGGACAAAAGAACAGAAACCAAAATGAAATGGTATTTTCACTGGGACTTGTCTTCTTGAGTGAACTGATATCTTGAAACTGACACAGCAGCACTTCCTGATATGATGTGTGCAGATTTACATAGCTGAGTAGTTTCAAACTTCAAACTACAAAATTTCTCTAGTCTGAGGCCCGTTAAAAATATTGAGGTAAAAAAAATTGAGCGACATCACAAAAAGGGTTACTTTCATTAGTGCATACCTGTATGTAAATTGACTTTATTTAGGCCATACCCTGTTCATTCAAGAAACATGTAGACACTGGTAGCATTTGGTTGTCCACTTTGAGAATTGGTCCAGATGTTTAGTGGATTTAGTTACCGGAGAATAAACGTCCTGGAACACTCAGATAATGTGATAGGCCCCTCAATTGGCAGTTATTTTGGAACTTGATTCCAATGTGTTTGTTGGCAGTGGACCATCTGTTCAATTAATAATGTAAAGTGTTTATCTCCCATGAGGGTGTTATACTGTAGGAGAGGTTGCGCATGGGTACGTTACGGATATGTGGTTTGTGTACCAGTGTGTTCTTGTTATGTCACTGTATAGGAAACTTGCCGTCTGGTGTCTGTAACACATTTAACACTGCACAGATCCATACTATGATTGCTATCATTCTTGGTACCGTTCGCATGTACATGTACATGTATGTACTTGTCAGTGTAAAACATATTGGAGAGTGTTGGTTGAAACCGTCTGTTTTGGTAGTAAACAATTACATGTGTACATGTACAGGTCTGAAAAAGGATTGAACTGCTTGACTTGTACTTGGCTGCGCTGTTGTACCTGTACAGCCAAGTACAAGTGGCACTTTGGTACATCCTTCTATGCGTGTAGTGCACAAAAATGCCACTTCCCATGTACATATAATACATTTTTTGTACATGTACATGCATGGGAATGAAATTGCAATGAATTAGCTTTTTTGAAGAATGGTTGACTCAATAGGAGGGTGCTCTTTGAAGTGGGTAATCGGAGTAAACGCAACAAATTTTACCCAAACCAAATAATGGCTTCCTATTCTGTCTGTCATGTTTTAAGTAGGCCATTGAGTTTCCTGTGAAGTAAAACCATCTTACAATGCCCTGTTCCTCTTTATCTGTCCATTAGGCCCCGTCTCACTTGTTTTGCTGTGGGGTTAACAGTTCAGACTAGGATTTCCATCAACTCTGTTGTCCCTTAAGTTATTCTCGATTTTATTAATTTTTCAGTATGACAGCTTAAAGAATTCGAGTGGGACTCGGCAGTGAATGCATCAAGTTGGTGTTTACTCAAGTAACCATCTTAGCTGCCATGTTGGGCGTGGTCTCAAGAGCTGTGCCGGCATGCTGCACGCTTGCCGCAATGCTGCTGGTGCTTTCGACCGTGAACTGCTCAAAGGGTGCTGAAGAGAGTAAGTATGGCAGTGCATTCTGCACAGTGTGGGCCATCCTGGACGTAAAAAAACCCAAGAAGAACGTGATTTTTAACGATGTCAGATCAGATATTCACGTTACCAATTCACAGAAACTTAGCACATTTCAACTCAAGATAAACTTCACTGCAAATGTTTCAGAATGCGAGTTCACTTTGCCTTTCAATCCACCTTCAGCTTCAGGAAGAGCCAGTTGCGTGTGACCTGTGCCCGTTGTGAATCAATCCGTGGCCTAATATTTGTGTGTTTTTGTTAGATCCTGCATTAGAATTGGCCAACCTAGGCATTTTTTTACATGTAACAAAAGTGGACATAATCTGGGAGAAAGATCGTTACGGATTCTTACCAGTGAGGTGCTTTGAGCGAGATTTCTTTAAAGGTCTCCAGCTGACTCAAAAGTGAGTTTGCAACTTTCTACTCATTTTGTAAGTTGGAGTCACATTTGAGATGCTGCTTTACATTCACCGTGCCCCCTTGCAATGGCCTACCACATGTTTGCTTCAAAGTCTCAAGCCCAGCGCCAGTACAGTCTACACAGTGACTGAGAAGGGAACAGGGAAACCAGACTATTCCTCATTTACTATGTACGTGTACCGTACATGCAGAACTTGCTCGCTGAGGGTTGTCCAATACAAAATGTGTGTGCCCTCCGAGATTCTTTAAAATCTGCCCAGCTTCGAGTAGAAGGTACCCATGTACTTGCACGCATGTGCACCTTCTATGGTACATACGTCTACGCGTAAATTGTGGGTGTGGATACTTGCCGCGCTGACATTTACAAGTTTTGCAGAGCTCTGAAATCTGACACTACAGAACATTGCCACTTCATTTACCTGTACATGTATGTATCTATGGCCTCACATCGCCGAAGCTTTGTCATACATGTACGTGTACATGTACACTGGCACATGTACATTTGTTGCAGTCGTACATGAGATCTTGTGACTTGAATGAGATTTTATGGCCCATTCACACTGCAGCGATAACAAACACAATAATGAGCATGAATACCAGGAAACAAATTACAAATTACCGTACAATGCCAAACGGATGAGACAGTTCTCAAGGGGGTGATATTGTTAACAGTATTTTGGTATCACTTTCAGTAAGATAAACATTTCCGAAATCAATCAGGGAACTATTCTATTCAGCCAGGGATATGTGTACATGTACATGCATCATGTACATTTACACACAAGTACATCATCCGGACTGCTTGTGGAACAAAATGAAACACGAATGCAGAATAAACCGTAAAGTGGGCAAAGACACAATCTTCAGTATCACAAAGGCAGCAAAGCATTTAAAGGTGGCCAAAAATGGAATGACATGTGGAGGAATATTAGGTTGCAGCTTGGCTGCCGTCGGCAAACGTATGGTGTTTGATGTTGAAGTTTTTATTAGTCATTTAAGCTAGGCGTAGAGTAAGTATTGGTATGTGTATACTGCACACCATGGGCCCACACTTCACAGTACACTACCTCATACGTACTGTAATGTTTGCACAGTCTGACCGACATGATGATCAATCGTTGATGTTGTATTTTTGTGCTCATTATCAGGTTCGTTCTCGCCACAGTGTGACTGCACCTTTACTCTGCATATTGGTCGGACAAACCAGAAATGATTTGGCACCACCAGGCATCCAAAATGATTTTAAGGATTTGATACCCGCACATGGTACAGTAGTAGCGTTCACTGCAACATCACGACTGCAACTCAGCCCCAGTATTATTACGCCCAGCATCTGTGCTGGCACGCATTATCTAAATATATATGTTGTGCCTTGCGCGCAAGTGCCCGCACTGTCAGTGTCAAGTTATTGATTGTGCAAATCAGTGCAAGTTTGACTCTGCATGGGGCTAAGCTCCACCGAGTACACTCTGGCAGTGTTTACTCACCGGACTGTTTACGGTATGTCAACAGACATTTCAAACACCCAGGACTTTGGAATTCAACTTTTATTATTATTGTTTTTCTGTGTGTTTGTGTGTGTGTGTGTGTGGGAGGGGGTAGATAACGAGGCCTCTGTGACCTTGGTTTGACCATTTAGGAGATCAATAACACCTTATTGATTGCACACTCTAAAGGTCCACTTGAGTTGTGCCCCGCTGTTTGTGCGCATGCTCTGTAGGGTGAAGTACCGACGCAATCTGTATTTTCCTTGGAGGAAAGGCTCAGTGAGATTACAGACGTTGCTGCCTTTGCCATGTTGACCTTGTTTCAAAATGATACTGGGAATGTGTAATTTTGTACATGTATTTACATGTACATGTATATGGCACATGTACCGCTATAAATGAATGTGTGTCTGTCATTGCCATAGTTACCCCAAAACCCTGGGGGCTCAACTGGGAGAGGCATAACAAGGGAGGCCCATAGTTCTGGGGGTATGAGTGCATTTGGCCTTGGAATGGTGAAGCTGTTGTCTCATGTCCTTGGGCTGGTTTCCACCTTGTATCACAGACAATCTGTTCTGTCCTGTTCATGAATCCAGCCTACAGCGTATTTAGCGCCAATTACCCGATGAATTGACAATTAAGGAGACAATGAAGAAATGTTCAGTTTTAGAGTTGGGAGGAAACCCCCGGATTAACCTTCCCGGGAAAACCCTCAGAATCAGGCAGAGGCAGGGACCAAAAACCCAATCCGCATGCCAGCCTTCCGGTAGGTGCGATTCGAACCCAGATCATTGAAATGGAAGGTGAGGAAAGAGCCACCACACCAACCTGACCACCCAGCAATACAACCTGACTCCTTGTCCCAGGCTGTGGTATTTTCATCTGAAAACACCATCTTTTTAAAAACGACGAGATGTACATGTACTGCAGGCGTACCATACATTCCTTTACAAAATTGGACTTTCACAAATGTTGATCCTTGGAAGTCATTACCTTATAGTTTGTGCAATATTTCTTTCCACACGGTCGGTGGATTTGCTAGAGCACCCGGCTGTGGTACACTGCCGCTTGAGGGCAAGACGCACGCTCAGCCCTCACAGACTAGTCTCGGCGTCTGTGTGTGTACAAACTCAATGGGAGTCACTCATCCAAAGTGGGGGAATGAGGATGAAGACAGCGCCTCGCTCTGAATACAAAATTTACCAAGACTTGTTTCTAGACATCTTCGGTGGATTGGGCACAGGAAATTCCCACGTGTTAACGTCCTTCAGTAAGAACTGGTCAAGAAAGGTGTCACTTTGCAGAACATTGGTATTTAGGAAAAGATCAGCCACTCAACCACTTCAGTGTTTTGCAATGACGAAGTTCTAGCAGATTCCCAAATTGCTGTAGTTTACACCCAAAGACTCCGTAAATAAAAAAGACAAGGGACTAGCAGTTTATTGAGGACCCCAGGCAACATAAGAGAGATCTCGGCAATTTCAGTTGAGTAATAAAACTACTCAAGCAGCATGGTACATGTACATGTAGTGTGCGTACAGGTACATACATGTATGTACGGTATTTGTCAGACTTTGGCAGTGTGCCACGTCTGGCCCACCACGCACAGCGAATAAATGTTCGGCTTGTGTGAAAAAAAAGGGTTCAAGTGGGAACGGACAGAAGATTTACACAAAGAACGAGCAGTCGCCGTCAGTTTCTGCCAGGGCACGGAAGTGAGAGTCCCATAGGGGTACAGCTTATTAACTGCATGTGCTTGTCAGCAGAGCAAGGAAAATGCCAACATGGGATGGAGAGTACCCCTCTCATGTACCGGTAAGTGGACACACACTGCGTACATGTACATGCACGAGTACATGGAGCAAGCCAGCAGTTTCTAGGCTTTTGCGTTGGCAACAGTTTCCTGCTGCAGATCCCAGTACAAGTGGCCTCCCGAATAAAAATTGTGGATGAGCCCGCATTACCCAGTATCTTAGCAGGTACACGTACATGTACGTGTACCGGTAAGTAGCTGGGACACTAAAGCTGAAATAAGGACAAGCAGAACATTCTCACTTGGGCCTGCTCTTTGTACCGGTACAATATCCATTGCAAAGAAGTCAGGCAAGAGAGTAAATATTGAGTCTCTGAAAGTACAGCAGCGAAAGTGGGAGGGCCTTCATGTAAACACTTCTGGCTGACTCTGCACTTGCAGTACCGGTATCACGCTAATTAATGCATTGTTCATACGAATACTCAGTACGTGTACCAGTACACATGTTGAAGTGTGTTACGGTACGTCTGTGTTCCACAAAGACACCAGTTACAAGATGCCACAAAACACCATATTCGCCTTCTGCAAATGTTTTACAACAAACCAGGTCCAAGCACAGCAATTTTTTTTAGCCGAAAATCTTGACATGTACATGTATGGTATTTCATATACATACTAACACACCGGGACACGTTCTGTTTGTATAGTATGTAATGTTCATGTACCTCTGCCCCTTTGTGGTACATGTACAGGGTATAGGCCCTACAGGTACATGTACATGTATGTACCATTCACATGCCGATTTTTTGTTTCTCTACGACATTTCTCACTTTTATATTGTCTTAAATTCTACATTCTGAGGTACTGGTGAGGAAGGATATTTTTCCTTGACAACTGGCTTTGCACAAGTCAGGGTACCATACACAGTCATCCAAGGAATATAGCCCAACCCTACAGCATGCATACATGTGCAGAATCAACAGGAGAGTGGGGGGGGGGAGGGATACGTGTGTGCCTCGTTACCAACTTCGAGTACGTCAAGTGAAACAACCAGAATCTTTCATTGTTTCCCAAAATTATTAATCAGCGTCGGATTTTCGTACCCGAAGGGGCTACTCATTCCGAGGGCGTTTTTTTTTTTTTACCTGCAAATTCTTCAACGTTGCAATTGCGCTTTAACCCAACCACGCGTGACGCGTCAATACGTCAACCGCGGAAATGAAAAAGAATTCTTAAATGAATGTACATGTACACACCCTCCGTCAAGCAAATAAGGAATAGTAGATTTACACGTCGTCCGGCGTCAAGTGGTCAACTAATTCCAT